GCTCCCCGCCGCGGCCGTCGCAGCGCAGCCTCCGCCGTGAGTAGCGCGGCCCGGGGACCCGACGGGCGGGACGGGGCGCGCGGACGGAGGAGGGAGCCAGACTTCCCCGGAGGCCCCCTCGGAGGGGACCGGTTTCCCCGGAAGGAGGGCGGCTGGGGTCTCGGCTGCTGGCGCCACTCTGCTCCGGTCCCGGCCCTGCGCGGCAGGTGATACTGCAGCGTCTGGCGCAGTGCACCTCCTGGGCAGCTGTGCGCCCCGCCGCGGGAGCCGGGTGCGGGCAGCGCTGGGGCGCGCAGGCACCGGTTGGTCGCTGCGGGCTGCAGCTGGGGCTTAGAAGGGCGTCGTGATGGTCCCGAAGGGGGCGTGCGTCGCCTGGCGGGGCCCTGGCCCCGACGTGGGGTGCACCGTGGCGAGTAAAGCCTGGAGGACCCCACTCTAACTCGGTGACATGTAAACGAGTTTCTCAGCGCAGGCAGGCGAGCGTCTCCGAGGCCGCGCAGGCAGTGGCGACCGAGGGCTGTGCGCTGGGCAGAGGCACCCGACCTCCAGAGCCCAGGGGAGGCAGTGGGGGCCGCCGCGCCGCTTGTGCCCCCGCTGCCTCCGTGCAGGTATTGCCGGGAGTCCTGCTGACCCAGGGGGCTGGCGCCTGGGCTGCTTCTCTGTTACCTGTTCCCCCAATAACTCATCTTCGGCGCCGACAGGGACGCCGCTGGTAATCCAGCAGCTGCCCGGGGGCCTTGGCCGGGGCACCGATGTGGGGATGTGGGCGTGCTGTCCCCGGGGGGGGGGAGCCTTCTGGCCCACGGGGTGAGCCCTGAGCCACTCCTGACGGCCTCGGACGGGGGAGATGTGGGGTGAACGCAGAAGAGCTGGCTTTTTCTCTTGTCAGCTCGCCTGCTTCCCAGCCCCAGCTGCCCATCAGGGATGGTGGTGACCCAACCCAGGGCTGGCCCTCGGGCGTGTGATGCTGGGGCCTTCTCCTGCAGCTGGCGGGGTCCCCTGAGACTGCTGTGCAGTCCCCGGTGCAGGTGCGTGTCCCGGACGGTCTTGCGTGTTTGGTCCACACTACCGCTGGCCTCTGCCCTGCTCACCCTGGGCGAGGTGGGTGAGGAACTTGGGAGCTGCCGTGCAGAATGAGCTGTAACCCGCGCTGAGCGGGCCTTGTGGCTATGGGGTGACTTCCTGACCTGGACACCCCCCCTCGTGGTCCCCCAGGAGACAGCTGACTTCCCAAGCCTGCCCCAGCCAGGAAGGGGTGGTGTGTCTATCACTGAAGCCCTGGGCACTTTCTGGGCGGGCTGTGTGGCTGTCAGCAAAGACCTTCCCCTGTCTGCACCTCAGTTTCCTCCTTCTGTCGGTCACATGGGCCACACCTGACAGCTGTGGTTTCCAACTTTAGTTGCACTGTGAGTTCTTACCCAGCGAGCAGTGTGGCCAGCGCGGACCAGCTCTGGCCCCTTTCTCACCCTGGGATCCTGAAGCAGAGTCGCCCTAAACGGGCGTCTGAGATCCATCCCTTCTGTGGGTCCTAGGAGGTCTGTGTCATCCGCCTGGAGCGTGAAGAGGAGTCCCAAGAGGTGTCCAGATAGCAGATCTGGAGACGACGGCCTCCTCCTCCTCTCGCTCCCACGAGGTGTGGGCTTCCCAGGGCCAGCGGGGTGCCTCTGCCCTGGGTCCTTGTCCGGGTCCTGGTTGGACTCTATAGTTCCGCCCTAGAGTTTCTCCTCCTCACTTTCATGTCTGTAAAACTGATCAAGTAGAAATGGATGGGGCGGGGGGCGCTGTTAGGAAAGAGCTTCCAGCTGTTGCCAGATGTTTTACCTCAGGAGATATTTGAGTGAGCAGGAGGCTGAATGCTAACTGCAAATCAGCCGGTACTTACAGAGTGCTGCTGTGTGCCACCTGCTGCAGGGGGATGGAGGTGAGAGTGTGATCGTTGTCCTCCTGGGGCCCCAAGACAACAGGCAGGAGGGAAGGAACTCATGTTGACTTGGAATTGTCCTGTGGCAGTCAGCTTTTTATCACCAGGACAAAGTACCTGAACTGAACACCTTCAAGGAGGAGAGATCCACTTTGGCTTACGGTTTTGGAGATTTCAGTCCACGGTCCCTGAGCTCCATTGGTGCTGGGCCTGTGGTGACACAGAACATCCTGGAGGAGTCAGAAGCAGAGAGGCTGAGAGGAAGGGGCGGGGGACAGGATGTACCCTTTCCCAGTGACTGACCTACTTCCTGCATGTAGGTCCCCCTCCCGAGAGCCCCTTCAGCTGTGAATTTATCAGTCGATGAAGACAGTGCCTCTGCAGTCCGGTCACTTTCCAAAAGTCCCACCTCTGAAGCCTTTCGGGAGCCTTTTCTGTGGTAGTGCCGATTGAACCCATTGCCTTCCCATTGAGCTACACCCCCAGCCCTTTTTTTTTTATTATTTGTTTTGAGACAGGGTCTCACTAAGCAGCTAAACTGCCCAGGGTGGACTCAAATTCGTGATCCTCCTGCCTCAGCCTCCAAGAGTGCTAGGATTACAAGTGTGTGGCACCATGCCCAGCTTGAGGGACATTTTAAACGCAAACCATAACATCTAGGAACCATTTAAACATTTTACGTACATTGTCTTCTGTGTCCCATAAGGTAGATATTTGTTTAACTTTTAAATTATGTAGGATGCATATAAAATAAATGTGCAGCCCATGTATCTAGGACACAGCCACTGAGATTAAGAAACAAGTTTCCCTGACCCTAGAAGCCTCATGTGTCCCCTTCTCAGTCACCACCCCTCACCTGTGGGGACCACTGGTCTCACGCCAACACCATGGATTAGATTTGTGGAATCACGCAGTACGTGGTTATGTGATCCTTGGCATCTGGTGTCTTCCATTCAACTTTGTGTTAGTGAGACTCATCCCCATGTAGCAGGGAGCAGTGGTTTGTTCACTCTCGTTGTGTAATGATCCCGTCGTGTGGCTAGACCCCTTTTGATCTATCCACTGTTCTACTGATGGTCATTTACTTGCTTCTAGTTTTTAGTTATCACTAATAATGTAAACATTCCGGCACGGAACCTTCTAGAAAACCACTCCACACATTTCTCAGTTTACACAGCAGTTTTCCAGCATGGTACTCCCCAGTGAGTGATACCGGGCAGTGATGGAGAGCTCTAGTTGCTCCTCATCGTCCCCAACAGCAAGGCTTTTTTTGTTTTTGTTTTGTTTCTTTTCCGGTACCGGGAATCGAACTCATGACCTTGCACTTGCCAGGCAGGCGCTGTGCCGCTGAGCTAAATCCCCAGCCCCTCCAACAACAAGGCTTTGTCTGGGGCCCTCTTCCATGGAATTAATTGGAAGCTCAGAAATGTTACCTGTGTATGACTAAGGACTGCGCCCCTAAGTGACAGAGCTGGGATTCAAACCCAGGCCCCTGTGACTGTAGAATCTGTGCTCTCTCCCTTCTGAGGTTGACACAGACATAGTCATAGACATAAATTATATTAAGAGGCAGATGAGAGAAATTCTAGTCCTAAAAGTGTATGAAGAACACTTCAGGAGTTTAAAGAAGGGGAGAATTTCTGTGGTAAGGGAGAATGGATCATGGAGCTCACAGAGATGGTAGCACTGGGGCTGGGCCTCATGGGAGGGAGTAGTGTTGCCAGGTGGGGGCTTCCTTTGGAAAGGGTCCTGCTTGTGCTGAGACAGGGCAGGGGGGAAATTTTGGGGGAATAGAGAAGGTCTGCTTTGGTTGTAGTATAGGATATGTGGAAGCTGGGCCTATGATCCCTGTGAGGCTGAGGCAAGAGGATCCCTGTGAATTCGAGGCCACCCTGAACTTCATATCGAGCCTCTGCCTCAAAACAAGAAACAAAGATAGGCTATGTGGGAGAGGGAGTTAAGGCTGCACAGGCAAAACGAGGCCACACTATTGGACCCAGTTTGTCCTTCTGGGGCTCCCTTACCTCTGCCCCTGGCCAACTGGGAAGTGGAGCCATTTACTGGACAGCTGGGCTTTGACTCCAGCACCCCTCCCAGTGGCAAGTGGAGCTGGCTTCTCACCAAATGGAAGACCTTAGCCGTTCCTGGGTATCTACCTACAAAATTTTTTTTTGGAGTTTTCTGCTTACCCCTACCGGTAGCTGTGTGAAATTAGTATACCTGACCCCATGGTTTCTTCCTTCAGAAGGATTTTTTCAGCAAAAAGATGGCAGGCAGTCCCCCCCCTCCATCTCAGAAGTAGCTTTGCCAGGGTGGTGGGTGAGGATAGGTCCGGCTTCTGGTTCTGGTCAAGCCAGATCTGTGGGAGGAACCCTAAAACTGTTTCCTAAGAAAGGAACTGGATTGCTTTTCTCAATGGTGTGGGAAGCAGAGACCCAAACAATGTCTGGGATGAGTCAAATAACGATCACGCTCCTGGTGCGTGTGCAGTTTCTGGCCTTACCACTGTGGAACCCCACTGGGAGGTGGGTATGAACAGGTGAGGTGGAGAGTGTCATCCCTGTTGACAGCGGAGAGGACTGAGGCCCAGAGAGGGTGCCAACCTGCTCCGGGCCACGGTGGGGCTGCGGGGCCAGCCCTTCCCCGTGTCCCGTATGTGCCCAGGCTGGTGGGGACCGAGCGAGGAGATGATGGACCGTGCGTGCCATGACTGGCAGGTGAGGTCGCCTGGCACCAGCCAGTGTTCTGCCTGGGGGTATTCGGGGCCGTGTGTGCCTCTGCAGAAGGGGGAAAGGTGGCAGCATCTGTTTGTGGGGGGCCGAGGTGGAGGGACGGATGAAATGTGTCTGTCCCTTGGGAATTACACTCCGTAGCCATTGGCGATGTGTCTATGGAATGGTGCCTCCCCCGGGGCCGGGTGTAAATCTTAGTCTTCTGGGTCCTGGGCATGGTTGGCATCTGATTGTCCGGCAGCAAAAGAGCTGTCCATGCAGCCCAGGTTGGCTCTGAGAGGTCTTTGCTAAGTAATGACCCCAGGAAGCTTCCGGGGTGGTGCATGGCTGTCCCAGGAACCGGTGAGCTCCTAGGGTGGGAGGGTCCCCTCTCCCTGAGGTGCCCCGGGCCAGCAGAGCTAACTCCATCCCACAGCGAGCCACGAGGTCGCAGAGCGCTTTGCGGGCAAAGGAGGAAGCAGCCCGTCAGGCTCCTGCCTCCCGGTGCCCGCTGAAGTGTGTCCCGCTGTTCCCGCCCATCTTGGGGTGATGAGAGAGTGTTTGCTGATCCGTCCAGACTCGCAGTCCCGGAGGGGGTTGAGGTCATGATAATCCCTCACCTTTCTCAGCATTTAATCATTTACGGAAACAATCTCAGGACTTGGGCTTGATTTTTCCAGTATTAGCTCCATTGTGCAGATGAGGATGTTAAGACTGGCAGCTTAACTGTCTCACCCGAGCAAAGCTGGGGCTTGAACCTGTGCCTCCAGACTCAAAAATGAGTGCTTTTATGATTGAAGCTCAGCCACCTCCCTTCCCAGTGCATCTGCATTTAATGGGAGCGAATAGCTGAACGTCACCATGAGTCTGAGTCCGTGAACTTCTGCAGACAGAACTGAAGATGCAAAGAGGGCTGTTTTATCTTTCTCCTGAATAAATTTGATTTGTGCTCGCTTGGCTGTGCATACACTTAACAGATTTGAAGTAAGAGCTGGGTGTAGTGATGTACACCAGTAATCTCGACTACTCAGGAGGCTGAGGCAGGAGGATCACAAGTTCAAGGTCAGCTATGCAAATTAGTGAGACCCCATGTCAAAATACAAATTTTAAAAAGGGCTGGAGATGTAGTTGGATGGTAGAGTGCTTGCCTAGAAGTGCAAGGTCCTGGATTCAATCCCTAACACTGAAAAAAAAAATAGTAAGTTGAATCAAATAAGAACTAAACATCATTGGCCACAGACAAGAAGCTGCCTGAGTAGGGCAGCTCTTGCGGAAGGAACCAGGCTGGGGACTGTGGTGATGTTATTAGTTGCCTGTGGCCTGTGACTTTAGGTTTGTGCTCCTTCTGTCTTTGTGTGTGTGTGTGTGTGTGTGTGTGTGTGTGTGTGTGTGTATCGGGAATCAAACTCTGGATCTTGGGCTTGACAGGCACTGCTGAGCTATATCCCTGGCCCCTGAGCTATATCCCTGGCCCTTGTTTTGTCTTTTTGAGACAGGGTTTCATTATACAGTTCAGGCTGGTTTTGAACTTTCTATATAGCCCAGGCTGGCCTTGAATTCGCAGCAATCCTCCTGCCTCAGCCTCCCGAGTGCTGGGATGACACGCTTGTTTCCGCAGTGTCCTAACCTCAAGTCTCTTCCCATTTCAGGGTTGTAGGATCCAGGCCTCCATGAGGAGCCCAGACATGGAGTCGTTCAAGCAACAGAAGGTGGAGGACTTTTACGACATCGGAGAGGAGCTGGGCAGGTAAGAGGCTGAGTGGGAGGCGGGGGGCAGATGGAGCTGGCTGTGCTTCTCCTGGTCGCTGTCAGTCGGTGTTGTAAGGTGTGGACTCGTCACAGGCCCACTGGGCAGCTCTAAAAACAAGCCCAGGGCTTATTCATCGTGGTGGGTGACTCCGCACATAGTCGTCTCTCTGGAAATAAGGTAGAAGGGGCTGGAATTACTGAGCTCTGTGTTTTCAGCATAACCTGATTGAAGGCTGTGCAAATCTTATTGACTTTTTTTTTTTGCTTTGAGACAGGGTCTGGCTATATCATTCTGGCTGGCCTTGGACTCACTATGTACATAGCCGAGGCTGACCTCAAACTTGCAGCAATCCTCCTGCCTCAGCCTCCCAAGTGCTGTGATTATAGGCGTGTACCACCACACCTGGCCTGGCCTTCTTCTAACACCTGCTTATTTGTAAATGGTGTTTGGTGGTTATAAAACCCTAATACTGCAGTGTGATTCTCAAACAATATGTGAAATAGGGGTTCTTTCACTCTGGTTTTCCAGAGGAGGCTGTGGCCCACAGTTTAAGCAAGTTGCCCAAAGTTGCTGAGGCGTCAAGCGATGCAGCTGGTGCTCCGGTTGTCTATCTGTACCCGCACACCCATCCAGCACGCTTCTCAGGGGCACGACTCCTGCACACACGCCCACCCGGCGCCCAGCCTCATCCCTCTCACACACTGGCAGTGGAGGTCCGCTGTGTGGATCAGGCCAAGCAGGAGGCCTGTTCCCTTTAGAGGACTCTGGGCCAGAATGCATTCTCTTCCTTCTTTTATTGTTAAAGACAAACAGAGAGATCTTCAAAGCCAGATGAGCCTTATGCCGAGGAAAGTGGGAGGCGCAGGTGCGGTGATTCAGGGAGTGCCTTCCTGGCACCCGGCCGCAGGTGACTTCTCTCCAGGGTGAGACTGGCGGTCACTGCCCTGGAGCCCGCCACACACAGGCATCAGGACGTCAGGGGGCCAAAGCTGGGTGCTTGGGAGACCAGGCTCTGCAGCTCAGGACCCTCTGCTTTTGGGAAGGGGTGTCCTCAGCAGCAGCAGCTGATTTGTGCAGCCCCGGCCCTGGCCTTTGGCTTGGTGGCCTCACGTTGGCCATGTCCTGAATGTAGGTGCTAAGTTGAGAGGCGTGTGAGACGCAGCCTGCCCAGCGAAGCTCAGCCTGCAGCAGGACAGCGCGTGTGCAGTAGTAGGGCAGAGTTGGCTTGGACTCGTGGCGGGGATGGGGGGAGAGAAAAGCAGAGCTGAGTGGGGCAGGGCTCTGAAGAAGGAAGTAGAGGCACTTTCCTGGGGAGTTCGTGAATTATTCCTTCATCGTCCTGTCTCTCACCTCCTCTGGTGCGCTATTAGAACTGGAGAGCTCCTGTGTTCTGGTGCTCCCGGCCAGCAGGTGGGAAGGCCCCGTGCACCTCCCAGCCTGGGGTCCCCTGTCTCTCCACTTGTCTAAGGTGCTAACCAGAGCCGAGTGTGGTGACACACGCTGTAATCCCAGCACTCGGGAGGCTGAGGCAGGAGGATCGCTATGAATTTGACGCAGGCCTGGGCTACACAGTGAGTTCAAGGCCAGCCTGAGCTACTTAGCGAGATCCCGCCCCCAAAAAACTAAACAAAGAAAGTGCTAACCAAGCAAAAGGTGGGTAAGAGACAGCAGAGGGCCGGGGACCTGGGCACTTTGGAGCGGCCAGATAGTGCTAGGATTTGTGGTCTGGAGGTCAGGGAAGCTGACCACTGGCGGCCCTCTCGAGATCCTCATTTGACAAGTGTAGAAACTAAGGCTTAGCGTGAGAAAGGGGAAGGTCGTAGAATAGCTGGAACGGCAGCTGCCTTCAGACCAGCTAGTCGGCCTCCGCAGGGACAGCCTAACCTTCTCTCCTGCTTCTTCACTGAACATATCAACTGTGTGCCAAACACTGCCCAAGGTGGCGGTGAACAAAATCGATCGTTCCTGTCCTCTTGCAGTGGCTGATCTATTGGTAGAGACAGCCACTACCCAAGTCAACACAGAAGGGTGACATAGGGTGTATGAAAGGCTAATTTGATTTCTTCTATTTGTTTTTTCTTGTCTTTGGAGACACAAGTTCACACTAAGTTGCTCAGGCTGGGCTGAACCAGCATCGACCCCTGAGGAGCTGGGATGACAGCCCTGCGTTGTGTGCTCAGAAAGCCTGTTAATGAAAAAACTGTAGGGTAAATGTGCACTAGCAAGCCGGCCGTGGTGGTGCATGCCTGTAATCCCAGCGCTTGGGAGGCTGAGGCAGGAGGGTCGTTGTGAGTTTGAGGCCAACTTGGGCTACAAAGCGAGCTCAAGGCCGGCCTGAACTGCATAGCGAGACCCTGTCTCAAAAAGACAAAAAAAAAAAAAGTACATGGGATAACTCGGAGGCAGGAAGAGCCTGGATCTGATGTTAGCAGGAGGCCAGGGTGGCCTTAGAAACAGAGCCAAGGCTAAGCAGTGCCAGGTGAGTTAAAGACGTAGGTGGGGGCTGATTCAGTTGCAAACTCCCTGCCAGCACAGAGTGATCAAGGGGTTTGGCCTTTGGGGTCACAGATCTTGGGGGCTGGGGCCTCTTCCTTGCTGGACAACTTCAGACCAGCTTGCTCAACCTGAGTTTCAGTTTTCTCATCTATAAAATGAGGCTGACGATCGCAGCCACCTCGTGGTTGTGGTCTGAAGTGACACCTTTGGTCGGGATGATGGACCTACCCTTGAAGTCAGTGTGGCTGGTCCCGCCTCTGCACCCCCAGGAGGAAGGTGTACGAGTTTGCAGGGAGCAGGCAGGGGGTCAGCTGGGTCTTTGGGGTCTGTATGTGAACTCGCTTCCTCTGCGTGTCGGTCCCCTACCCCCCGCCGGAGCCAGCTCACCGATTTTCGCCCCTCACTGAGTCCATGCTGTGCAGAAGTGCCAGTGGCTACAGCCTGCTGCCTGGGCTGGTGGGTGACACAAGCACACAGGAGAGCAAAGGAGGTTAAGCTCAGAGTGAATCCACAGTGCTGGAAGCTGGAGTGATGGCCCTGCTCAGGGGACTGGAGGGTGAAAGACAGCATGGAGGGGATTTCTGGGGTGCAGGTGTTACTCTGTTTCTTGGTCTGGGGTGCTTGTTTCACAGAGGTGTTCATGAGTGCATGTCACGATGTACACATATGCGGACACTTTCCTGTATGTAATAGCCAACTCCAGCAGAGTACTAACCGGGAGCCTTCAGCTCCACTCCTTGTTGGGGTTTGTTGCAGAATCATGTTTCTGATTCTCTTGGAGGCCTTGTTTTCCTTATCCTAGGAGGAAGAGAAAAAAAATCTCTGTAAGAAAGCCTTGCTTTGGAGCAGCATTCCCTGGCCAGAGTGGCCTGTCCTCTGTTACTTGCCCACCTGGCCTTGTGTCCCTTACCTGATTTCTGGCCCCCAGAGCTGAGTGTGGAGTCCTGGCTGTGCTCCCAGTTTCGGCACCAGCCTGCTTGGGATGCTTGAGGTTGTCTGCTGTTTTCTGTACTCTTTGGAGAATGTAGGCCTGCAGATTTTTGGCCTCTCCCAGCCTCGGTAGGCACCTGTAGCACGAGCAAAAGCATACTGGATCAGGGCTCATGAGTAGAAGCCCATTCACCTGCTCATTTTGTAGGTGGGGTCAAGATTGTCCAGGTCACACGGTGAACCGGCGACTGAACTGAATGTCAGGCACTCTGACATCCAGTTTGGGGTGTAGGTGTCTACCAGAAGGAGCCCCAAAACACAAAATCATTTTTTCTTTAATTTCAGTGCTTGTGGGGGATAGAAGAGACTGTAAAGTAGATTAGTCTTTTCTGTTTTATTTGAGGCTAGAGTAGCAGGAGCAGAGCTAGGGGAGTGTTTGGGAAGCTGTGACGTTCCCCGGGAGGAGGTGCTGGTAGGTAGGCCCAGGGACGGCTTCAGGGACTCTACCGACATCTACTGTGACCCTAAGGAGATAAAGCAATTTAATATAAGGAACACGTGATGATCAGTGATTCCTTGTTTTCAAATCTTTGGTTATTTTTCTTTACTTAAGAGGTCTTCTACTAACATTAGGGTACTAACGTAAAATCCTAAAGTGTCCCTGCTAACCTGGATCTCATTAAAAAAAATTCAACCCCCCCTTTCATAGACAGGAAGAGAGAACTGAAGAGGACAGGTGATTTGTTCAGAGTCAAAGAGCAAGTGATGTAGGAGAGCAGTCTAAGGCAGAACCTTCTGAGCCACCAAACACAAACACTCACCTGGCACCACTTGTGGAAGTGTGAGCACAGTCCCAGCCACTTGGGAGGCTGAGGCAGGAGAGCCACTGAAGTCCAGGAGTTCAAGACCAGTATGGACAACATAACAAGACCTTACATCTCCAGGGAAAAAACGAAGATGATGTAAAGCCAACAAGAGAGCTGGGGATATAGCTCAGTGGCGTAAGCGCAAGGTCCTGAGTTCGATTCCCAGTACCAAAAAAAAAAAAAAAACCAACAAGAGACCACCAGCATGAACCCAACAGCTGTTTTGTTTCTGAGTCTTTCTAATATTTTCAAGGATAGCTCTCACATTCCCCTCTTTTGTG